AATGATGTCAGTGTTCGGTAAAAAGGAAGTGGTTGAGGGATGAATCTGAAAACGCATCACACTGTGTAGCTGACTCATATAAACCCTGAAACCAAAGGACAAGGTACACTAAGGGCCTTATATGGTCCCCTTTTTTGTCACAAAATCATTTTCATGACATAAATGAACTGAGCATCAGAAAAGATTTCTATGTATCTGTTCTTCAGTAGCACATGCGTATTTTATCTTCATGAAAACAGAAACCTGATTTTGGGTCGCTTAAAGTGTGTTGATAGCGTCAAAATATAGAAATTGTAGTTGATTTTTGGACTGCAATCCTTCGTTTTAAAAGGCCTCCGCCAACGTGAGCCACAGTAATAATTAGTGATAAAGATGGTATACAAACAGGGTTTCCCAAATAAGAAAAGAAATAATTACACCTTAAAATCCCTAAAACTTAACATGATCAAGCTACAGACCTAATATAAAATCATTGCTTTCAATAGTTTTGACCGAATTTGACCATAACTTTCCTTGCACATGTGTTTTATAAATTTTCTAAATATCTGGAAACAGGAAGTGGCTTAACTACAAATGTCAAAGGAGTATGTTCAATAACACCCTAAAACGATCCCTATTTCTAGCTACAATTATAAATTAGGATTTAATGACCAATATCACAATGAATCATAGCTAATACAATGACTATATAGAAAATATGTCTTTTTGTTGAAAATTTACGTACTTACTTTCTATTCATGATGTCACAAATATCACTCATTTTGATTTTGACCAAAAATTCAATGAAAACGGGTCAATTTCCAATGATTTTTTGGACAGGAAACATAAAGCTCATGCGTCAACAAAAAAGCTTTTTAACAAAATATTTGTTATCACATTTTACATATCTGACTTGAATATTAAGTTTGTCGACGCCTGTGCTCTAAGTTTCCTAGGCCATAATTTGGTTGAAATTTTGACAATTTTGTTAAATCTCGCAAAAATCTCTATTTTGATCTTTACAGGATGTAAAAATCAATGCTTTTAAACTAGAACTTTAACAAAAAAGTCCTATTAAACTTTCTCACGTGTCTTTTTATCACTTTAAAACATTTATTGTCTTGAAACATTGAACATAATAATCGGGGCCAAATATGACCCTTACCAAACTTACTTCTTTGCTAACACGGTAAAAAATAACATTATCAGGCTGCAGACCAAATATAACCTTATTTCCATGGATAGATTGCTAAGAAAAACTTTCACAATTGGCAATGCAGGTAAAAAGTTCTAAATGACTTAAATGCGGACTTTTTAATATGAACTATGTTCATAATTTCACATTATATGCAAATTTGTTAATATAAAAAACAATATTCAACTGTAAACTTTTATTGTATTCAACAGTGGTCTGTTTTGCTGCTTTTAAAGCAACACCAGTAGGCACATAGTCAAAACAACTGCTAGTTTGGTTACATTTACTTGATAACAAGGCACACAATATATCATTGTCGAGTTCTGATCAGAATTCAGGGTAAATTTCTTTATAATTGAAAATGATCTCTCACAGTCAGAATTGATATTTGGCTGAACTATAATAGCTTCATGAAGCTTTGAAAGAGTGTCATAATGTTTTTTTTTTTGCCATCTAAAATGTCATCTATGATCTCTGCCATTGCTCCCAACAAACTATACAATATATGTTGCTATTGCCTGGTCAAAGCTGGGTAGTTCATCAGAAGACAGCTAATACTATGAGAACTGATCCAACAGTTCCGTGATATTTCCATCCCTTATGGCCTGTGGAAATCTGTTGGCTACATTTTAAACTGAAAAAGAAAAATATTTTATAATTGTTAAATGCTTAATCAAATAGCTATGTATTTTAGTTCTCCTCTCATATGTATTGTTATGATTGCAACATAGAGTGCACAATGCGTTACTCATCCCTCAATGATTTAAAATCGAACTCCCAAATATAATTTATAAATCTTGGTACGTACACATCGTTTTCGCTTAGAAATCGGCTCTATAGACGACGGCACAGGTCCTGAAAGCTACCTCTTCCTGTGGACATTTCCCCTAAGTGAATTTGAAAGAAAGAAAGTCCCAAAATTGTAAAAACTAATCACAAACTACTTACCTTGAGAGCTTTTGCTGTTCGTCCATATAGAAAAATAAACAATGGCCAGATAACAATTACTTAGCCTGGGATCCTGGCCAACTGTTTGACATCGACGAAGTATTAGATTTGGTCAGGATGCCAGGCTAAACAATTACTTCGAAATTTCGGTATTTATCGTGTTATAATGAAAAAACCCGAGAATCGCGATATCACTTACAACCTAAAAATCATAACGAAAAAGCGTGTAATTGCGTGTAAAGTGGTGAAAAGCGTGTACACACCATGTGATAAAATCCTCACGTGTAAACCGTTGAAAAAGCGTGTATTACACGCGAATATCATGTCAGTTGGCAACTATGGTCATAAGGAGTATTCATGCCATGTTTTATTCCATTCCATTCAGTGGTTCTTTAAAAGAAGACATTTGTATGTATTTCCCATAGGGTCCTATGTTAAACTAAGTCCCTCTCTGGCGTCCATCTTGGATGATGGATCAGTTTCAAAGTAATAACACTTGGTCAGCACCTGAAAAGGAACATTTTTGCCATGTTTTGTTCCATTCCATTCCTTGTTCTCTTAAAGAAGACATTTGTATGTATTGTCCATAGGGTCGATGTTAAACAAAGTACCCTACTGGTGGCCATCTTGGAAGATGGATCAGCTACAAAGTAACAACACTTGGTCAGCACCTCATAAGGAATATTCATGCCATGTTTGGTTTCAATCCATTCAGTGGATCTATAAAAGAAGACATTTGTATGTATTGTCCATATGGTCCTATGTTAAACAAAGTCCCACCCTGGTGGCCATATTGGATGTTTGATCGCCTACAATGTAACAACACTTGGTCAGCACATCATAAGGAATATTCATGCAATGTTTGGTTTCATTCCATTCAGTGGTTCTCTAGAAGAGGTTCAAAATATAAAAAGTTAACGACGACAACGAAGATGGACAATTACAACAGACAAGGACAGACAACAGGTGCCAAGTAATGAGAAAAGCTCACTTGGCCTTTTAGACCAGGTGAGCTAAAAACCAAGCCATAATTATGAAAAAATAATAAAGTTACACATTATTTGATATATGCTCTTATAAGCAGACTTCATAAGAACCAACTCCGACCTGTTGGTCCTAACGTTGACAAAATTTAAAGACGTCTGCCAATTTCACAATTGAGCCTGTCTGTTTGTACGACTGCTATCATACAAAAGGCCTTTTGGGTCACTGGGGTTACTTCTACCAACATTTTGTAGTTTGTCAAATCATTGGACACTTGTTTTTTGTTTTACTTTTACTTATTGAGGTCAGAAATCATATTACTTAAATAAGGATGATTGTGTCTGACAAAACTTGTTATAAGGATCTATATTTCAATGATGTTCTCTAAACATTTAAACTTTTTAGCAAAACATATTTAACTGAAAAATAAAACGAAAATTTCATGTGAATAAATTTTGAAAATGGTATATTGATAAAATTTGTTGATTTTATTATAAGAAATATTAAACATACTTTTTGTCTCTTCAGGTTGGATTAAACCATCTGCCACCATGAGATCAGGACCTTCAGGTGAACAAGATTTACCTAAAATAAATACAAATCATTCTGAAAACAGATAATTATGTGTAAAAAGGGTTAATTTAAAGTGAAATTTAAAACAAATTTAAATTGAAGGTTATTGACTAAACAAAAATTATTGTCTGATCAATGTAAAAGTTCAGGTGTCGGACCATTAACAAAACAAATACTCAGTCTGGACCTGGGTCTCTACGTGCAATCAATTAAAATAACATGTGAGCCAAACTGATCATTCCCTTTCATTGAACAATGAGTAATGTGAAATTTTCAACAGTCTGCAAAAAGGAAGTGGCTTACATGACAGGTAAAAAAAAATTGCTGAAACACTCAAGTTCAACATTATCAAGCTACAGAGTTTTGACCAAATTTGACAAAAAAATTTCCCTTGTTTCTAGCTTATTGTACTCTATAGTCCAACCCTATCTGGCAGGTTCAATTTTGGAGAATAAAACTGCTGACTATACAAGCCTGAATTCGTTGGTGGTGCTAAAAACTTTGCCTCTGCGCATTTTTCACAGGGTCTTACCCTTTTGATTTGGCAGTCCTACTACAAATCTTCCTCCTATAAGACAATACACAAAAAATCAATTAGTTTTCAATTCTATAATTTTTTAATTATATGATGAATGACAGCTGAAAGATTTACTTGTTGACAAAATATTTTTGTATACATAATAATTAGATATTTGGGCCATCTTTTAGTCCTCCTTTTAATATGTATACTATCTGACACTGAATAATTGGTGTAAATGAAGAAATGTATATGGAAAGGGTTGGTGTTTAATGTCTAGTGGAAAACATAACATGCATATGGGATGAAAACATGTAAATGTGAATCACTGCTTAGAACCAGATAGACATGCTGAGTCAAAATTTCAACAATAGTATTTCCCAAACTACCAGTCAACATGAAATATGCAACCCAACCCAGAACATTTCAATTAATTGGTTTGACACAGATCAGGATAGAACCCAAATCCTCCCACACACGCTAGGCAAACTGCCACCACAAGACTATTCAGGCAGTCCACAAGGAAAGGCTCTTCATTTTTATGGATGGCAGAGATGACAAAATATCACACAGTACAAAGTTAGTAGAACTTTCCTAATCTATCAAAAGCTAGATTGAAAACTGTGAAGTCATGCATTAGATAAACCATAAAAGTGAATTTTCACTTGAACTTGCATTGGTCTATAGTATGTTGTGAATAGTGATTTTATTTCTAACCGTACTTTAACTGAATGGTCTCAGAACTTTGAACATTCTATTGAAAGGTAAACCATTTTACATACCAAAAATTAATACTTACTTTTCAGTTCTGATATTGAAAACTTTTTCAAACTGACATAACACTTCTTTGTCATCTGAAAATATTATTTTTGAAATTATTTCCAGTCTGAATAAGGTATATAATTGGTTAACTGGCAAATTCCATTAAACTTAGTTTAAGCATACATATCCATAAACCAATCTTACGACTAAGGCCATCCAAAATGTGTTTGTGCCTGGACATAAATTTTCTTGAAAATAGGCCTCATAAGCAACATAATTTTCAAGAAATCTTATATAAGACTGATTTTTAGGCTTTTCAGTCAAAACGTTTTTATTGCAGACTCTTTACACAGAATATAAATAAAACAAGAATGTATCCATAGTACATGGATGCCACACTCGCACTATCATTTTCAATTTTCAGTGGACCATGAAATTGGGGTCAAGACTCTAATTTGGCATTAAAATTAGAAAGATCATATCATAGAGAACATGTGTACTAAGTTTCAAGTTGATTGGACTCCAACTTCATCAAAAACTACCATGACCAAAAACTTGAACCAAAAACTTTAACCTGAAACGGGACAGACGGATGGACGAAAGAATGAACGAACTGAGTGAGGAAAGGATGAACGAAAGGACACAGACCAAAAAACATAATGCCCCTAAGTGGAGAATAACAAAATAAGAGGTACACATCAATAACATAGCAATACATCTGCACAAGCAAAAACATTTATAAGATATAGACTGAGAAAATCCTTATGATCTTCATTTATGATGTCTTTTATTTTGAATGATTTAGTTTTCATTTTTTAACATCTTAATTTTGATTATCTGATTGTTGTGTTTTTGTTTCTTAACCAATAAACACAACAACTAATCCTATATATATATTAATGTTTTTGTCCAATTAGTCAAAATGATATGCAAGGCCAGATTCAATTCACCTCAACATGGTCAGTACTTCAGCTTGCTGTCAGTAGTTCAAAGTCTTCTTTGACACAATATTTTTCAAACAAGTGTATTTCTTGTACTTTTGGTTTTACTTGAAATGTACCATTTCTTATTCAACAGTTCCAAATTATAAAGGACAGCTGATACTCAGATCTCAAAAAGTTAGGTAGTTGATCATGTACCAAACGTTTGTCTTATGAATGTCTATAAACCAAATCCCTGTTACTTGTTGTCTTTTGTTATCTAAATAACTTTGTCATTGAGGGAATTTTATACACATTGTTGTCAATTTAATGGAATTTTATGCAACTGTCATACAAGTAAGAGGTTTAGCTAGCTATAAAACCAGGTTTAATCCATTATTTTTTACATGAGAAAATGCCTGTACCAAAGTCAGGAATATAACAGTTATTTTCCATTCCTTTGATGTGTTTGAGCTTTTGATTTTGCCATTTGATAAGGGACTTTCCTTTTTGAATTTTCCTTGGAGTTTGGTATTTTTGTTATATACTTTTTGTTATGGAAGATTAATTTTAACTTTATAAAAGTTGTTGTCTTACTTGAAGTTTCGAAGATTGCTCATGGACAGTACACAAAGAGTCTTCCAACATGTTTGGAGTTCTTGGTTCACCTATTTAATTCAAATATAGAATTGTAAGCATATGATATTGCAAATGTTTAAAGGCAATCTGTAAATTTAGGCATAACAGAAGGCAAAACTATTACACTCTACTGGTAAATATTATGTGTCACTGACGATGACTATATATAGCATGTAAGAAAAAAGTAAAAACTATAACCTACAAGATAAAGACTATCATAGCAACATTGCATCCATCTGCCAATGAAAATTACATAATACAGATATTCACAATATAGAGAATTCTGACTTGAAATCTAGAAGTGAATTTAAATATTATAGTCAAATTAGAAATTATACAATCAGGAAAAGAACTATTTTAGCAGCAAATCATTTTGCCCTTTTTGAAAGGACAAGAAGTGACCTCTTACAGAAAGCACATATATATTTTTTTTTTCTTTTTTAAAGGTTCCACCTAAATAATCCTCATTGCTCATAGTCTATAAGGGTGTGATAAACTCAGATTAACTCATAACATGAAAACATGCAGAGAAAATTTACAACAGATAGATCTCAACTAGATTAACATTTTTACCCCATGTCAGATTTACTCTAAATGCTTTAATTTCAGATATGTAAGCCAAAAACTGTATTTCACCCTTATATTCTATTTTTATGGGCCATGTTGATAGGCAGGCAGGGTCATCGGACACATTTTTTCAACTAAATACCCTAATGATTAATGTGGCCAAGTTTGGTTAAATTTGGCCCAGTAAGTTACAGAGGAGAAGATTTTTGTAAAAGTTAATGGACGACGGACGACGACGGATGTCAAGTGATGAGAAAAGCTCACAATGGGCCAGATGAGCTAATAAATCGTGGTACTATCATATAGAATCATCAAAATATCTAAATGAACAGCAGACCGGAAATGATTTCCAGTATTCACTTCATCCTACAATAGCCTTTTCTTTATACTATAATCAGGATAATGGTAGGTTTCTTAATGACTTTAAATCATCTGAAAAGGAACACAGTAGTCCATTTTATTATAATTGCATGAATTTAAAGTGAGATTTTAACAGAGAGCGCCTAGTTTTCCTCTTCTTATTCTTCATAATTAAGGTATGAAATATTCCATCGACATCTGATGACCACATACTGTTGCATATGTGGACTATATATAAAATTTACCCCAATTTAAACAGAAAATAAATATTTATAGTACAATGAAAATAACAACCTTGATACTATAAACATTCTAACTTTATGTTATTAAATAATAGTACAGAGAACAGCAAGAGGGAGCTTTTGTCTGACGTTATTAACTGATGGTGCCTGAACAAGTACCACAGGAGCTGATTCCACTCACAGTGACACAATGCAAATGATTAGAAGGGACCATCAGAGAAATATGGGGAATAATGAAATCAAAGTTATTTGTTAATTTGTTCATATTCAAACACTTCTTATTTGACTCAATTTCAAATTTAGAATTTTGTGGAAGACATTTATTATGGATTGCCATGTCCAAGGATAAAAAGCCTTTTTTTAAATGTTTTTCGTTAAGCAATTGCTGTATCATTGCTAGGCTGTTATAAGCATCTAGTACACTAAATCTAAGGGTCACCATTCATTTGTCCCGTAATTAGGCTTGTATAGTTTGCACTGGTACATTATCCGAACCCCCCTTCTCGCCATGAAATTTCAGGTAAAACAAGTGAAACTGTGAGCTACTGCTCACTGATGATACCCCCGCCCAAATACTTGACGGTAAACAGGAAGTTGTTGAGTGATGAATCTGAAAACACATCACATGGTATAGCTGATTTATATAAACCCTGAAACTAAATTTCAGAAATCCTTGTAATGTAGTTCCTGAGAAAAATTTGACGAACATTTTTCAACTTGGATGTCATTTGTACAATGATGTAAGTGTTCTGTAAATAGGAAGTTGTTGAGTGATGAATCTGAAAACGCATCACACGGTATAGCTGACTTATACAAACCCTGAAACCAACTTTCTGAAATCCTTGTTATGTCGTTCCTTAGAAAAATGAGACGAAAAATTATTCATGGGACGGACGGACGGACTGACGGATGGATGGATGGACTGACTGATGGACGGACGGATGGACAGACAGAGGTAAAACAGTATACCCCCACTTTTTTAAACCTGGGTATAAACTCTGAACTGTTACAAAATGTCTGATGAAACTCCAGTAATTTCAAATCTTGTGTGGTAATTTGTGGTATCGTTTTCCATCATCAAACAGAAGTTGAAACTGCTTGTAAATGGTTCTAGAACACTTCACAATTGTCATGATTGTTAAAATAAGTCAATATCACACAAAAAGCAATTTAGAAACTTGTGTATATTTAAACCAGAAGTTTGAATAGCTCATGTAAAAGAAAATAAATACGGTGAGAGTGTACGGAAAAATCTGTATTTAATAGATATCACTAGAATACGACTTTAAAAGTAAAACAGTTCCATTCTTGTGTAAAACAATGTTTAATATTTATATAACACTGATGTTTGAAGGATTTTAAGCTAATACAAAACACAGATTCCAGTTTATTTTAAGCAATGCAGTGAAAGAAACAAGAAATTTGTAGTGAAGCATTTAGTTTTTAAATTTATCAGTTTTAACTTGATATTGAATGAAAATAAATATTAATATGGATAAGGTAAATTATTAGTTTTGAAAATGATAATAGCGCCCTCTACAATAATAATAACAAACATGGCAGAACGTAAACAAACCATCTCGCGAAATAGAATTTTTCTATTATTTCTTGCTTATTGCACTCTATGGTTCGCACCCCTGTATGGCAGGTTCATTTTTTGGAGAATAAAACTGTGGACTATACAAGCCTTTATTCGGAAGCTTTGAATTCTTCTTAAACAAACAATATTATTTTGTTTTGTTCTAATTTTGTACTAATAAAGCAATTAATATGTGATAATCTTTGTATCTAATAAAAACTGTTGCTAGGCAACCTTTCTTTTAACAGGAGCACAATAGTTTTTTTTCTTCAAGTAACTTAGGGCATTGACCATCAATGATATAAACATTAACTTACTTGGAGAGGGCTAAAAGTGACCCTAATCATACCTTGTCCTTTACTGATTGACAATTAGTAATGGCACACAAACTATTATGCAATAAATATGTCATAATTAAGGATCATTTAAGCCATGGTTTAATGTAGATACATATTTATTTAGTCCATGAATCAGAATCATGTACATTCGTATCAAGAAATTTTCAAAAAATCATGAGTTTTGGGATAATATAAGTCTCCAAGAATATTGCTTTACATAGCAAATTAGACAAGACTGCCTTAAATGCAAACCATTATTCCCGTTGGGGCAGTAGGCGACGATTAAATTATGGACAACAGAAAACAAATAAAGACAAATTTAGCTGAATGATAGATACCTTTATCATGTGAAGCTTTAACTGTCTTCAAGCTATTCTTGTCAGACTGGAAAAGAAAAATCAATTCAATGTAGCCTACAAGAATCTTGCATCACTTATCAGGCATCTATACAATTCACAACTACATATTTTTTCTCTTCCCCATAAATAACATGAGCCCGTTATTCAGTTGTTGTCTTTGGTTACTGTTTATTATATTTGTTGTTATTCATTTTTTTAGGATAAATCATGCTGTTGCATGGTAATCTCGTTTGAAAGTTTACATTTTTATTTGTCTTACTATAAGGTATGCATGGATTTCGCTCAATGTTGATTGCAGTAATATGAGTAAACATGACCTACAATTTCTTAAATCCAAGTCTTTTGGTTCCAGTGGATAGTTGTCTCAATGGCAATCAAACAATGTCTCCTTATTTTCATACAATTGCTTTCGAAATGGGACATTAAAAAAAAACATAAAAACACAACAATTTTTTTTATAAATTCCCCCTAAATGATGCTTCAGATAAAATCAAGTCTCTTTGTTTCTTGCTTTAATATGTGTAGTATTGTGAATCTTTGAGGACAGTTTTTTGTGGATTTTGTGGGTACAGATGAATAGTTAATTCAAATGTTCAACAAAGTATAAATTTCTCTTAGGATTGTATGCAAACTTTAAAGATTATCCCAAAGTCTGCATCAGCAGAGGAAAAATTTAGCATAACTAACAAAATATGAAAAATGTAAATCATAATGCAATTGGCCTGGTTGAGCAATTTTCATCAATAAAGCCATTTCTTAATCAATCAAGGACTATTACATCAGATCAACAACAGTGATAAACGCACAGATATGTCTCGCTTTTTTGTTATTTTTGTTGTAAAATGCAAATGTTGAAATCAAAATAGCAATACCTTAACATATAAGATATGCAAAATATTCAGAGTCAATGAAAAAAGGTACAGGGCCAAACAATCTCCATGGAAATGAGATGTGTCAATGCTAATACAAGTGCATACCATATTATTGACCTTCCACTAGTGGTTCCCCATAAACTGACCTAATCACAAACTAATACATGCAAACTAACCAAAAGTTTCAAAGTCAATAGACCATGATTGAGGGGCGTGGTCAAATAATCTCCATGGAAATGAGGTGATGTGCCAATTCTAATACAACTACAAACCAAATATCATTAACCTACCACCATTGGTTCCCCATAAACTGACCTAATCACAAACTAATATGTGTAAACTAAGCAAATGTTTCAAAGCCAACAGACCATGACTGAGGGGGCTGGGCCAAATAATAGACAAAGAAATGAGATGTGACAATGCTAATACAACTGCACACCAAATATCATTGACCTACCACCAGTTGTTCTACATAAACTGACCTAATCACAAACTAAAACATTGCTGATGCCACCGATGAAAGCGCTGTATGAAACAGCATACCAGGTCTTGCTATAAGTCTTGCTTTTTTACTACATCATGTACATTAAGGTGATACACACATTATTAAAATGGAACTTGACCACCATTTTCTAATCAGTAACAACATAAAAAAAAATTTAATCATTGATTGATGTTTTATCAAGTGATCATTATCATAAACAGCTGGAGCAACCTGGCCAAAAAACCTGCTGACACTGCTGTAAATGTATTACCCCAAATAAATGACCAGTGCTGTACATGTATTACCCCAAATTAATGACCAGTGCTGTACATGTATTACCCCAAATTAATAACTAGTGCTGTACATGTATGACCCCAAATTAATAACCAGTGCTGTATGTGTATTGCCACAAATTAATAACCAGTGCTATACATGTATTACCACAAATTAATAACCAGTGCTGTACATGTATTACCCCAAATTAATAACTAGTGCTGTACATGTATGACCTCATATTAATAACCAGTGCTGTACATGTATTACCCCAAATTAATACCTAGTGCTGTACATGTATGACCCCAAATTAATAACCAGTGCTGTACATGTATGACCCCAAATTAATAACCAGTGCTGTACGTGTATTGCCACAAATTAATAACCAGTGCTGTACATGTATTACCCCAAATTAATAACCAGTGCTGTACATGTATTACCCCAAATTAATAACTAGTGCTGTACATGTATGACCCCAAATTAATAACCAGTGCTGTACATGTTTTACCCCAAATTAATACCTAGTGCTGTACATGTATGACCCCAAATTAATAACCAGTGCTGTACATGTATGACCCCAAATTAATAACCAGTGCTGTACGTGTATTGCCACAAATTAATAACCAGTGCTGTACATGTATTACCCCAAATTAATAACCAGTGCTGTACATGTATTACCCCAAATTAATAACTAGTGCTGTACATGTATGACCCCCAAATTAATAACCTGTGCTGTACATGTATTACCCCAAATTAATAACCAGTTTTTAGTTTGTTTGAAAACCAAATAAATTTGACAAGGCCTCTTTTAAACATATAAATGGTATTAGAAAAAATCAAAATGGATCATCAACAATAACTCATATCATAATATAATTCAAATAAATTCAGTCATTTAAAATGTTAGAAAAATGTTTAAAAATCAAGCTTACATTTGTTGTTTTGGACTTTTTTCTCCATGGCAGGTTTTTGGATTGATCCCCATAATCGTAGCGTAACTCCTCTCCCCTGACTATTTCTTTGAGGGCAAATAATGCCAAATGGGGATTACCATCCACATGAATACGCCTCATAATAGAATTTTTTTCTCTGCCAACGCCATCATTGACATACCTGCCCATTAATTTTGAATTTGTAGCATCAATGCTGAAAAATGAAATTTCACAATAAACATTCATTGTCAATGATCAATTAGCAGTTTTGTAAAGCCTGTCATGGCATATTATACAATATTGTACAATTAGTAGTAAATTGATCAAAATATACAAGAGCTAGTACCGGACATGAAAAATACCTGTGTCAATGCAGATGTTAGCATCCATATGTCACCCTACAGCCTTCAACAATGACCAAAACCCAAAACATGACAAAAAATGTAAAAAATATCAAAAGAATCAACTGTTGACACAGATATGTGTCTCACCTTTTTGAAATTTTGATAGTATAATAAAAATATTGAAATTAAAATGGAAATATCATGTACCCTATGCAAAACAATCAAATTCAATGAACCATGGTTGAAAGTGCTGGTGCAAACTATTCAAATACATGTAATTCAAGCAAATGTTTTAAAGCCATTAGACAATAACTGAGGGGTATTGAGCCAAATATTCACCATTGATATTTGATGTGCCAATGCTTATACATCTGTATACCAAATATCAATAACTTACATCAAGTGGTTCCCCTTAAACTGACCTAATCATATCATAGTATCAAAGAAACAGACTTAACCAGAAAAAACTATAAACATTGACCAATGAACCATGAAAATGAAGTCAAGATCAGAGAATCCTACCAAACAGACAGACACCATGTCCTTTTTTCCATATGTACACCTTACAATCATTACATACACCAAATATAGTTGACCTATTGCTTATTCTTGTATCTGAGATTAGGACCAAATTTCAGAAACTTAACATTGACCAATGCTACAGTTGACACAAAAAAAAATGATCATGCTGCACAGAATGTTTTTGAAACAATGGAGAACTAGACATCATTGAGATGGGAGCCATCTTTGTGGTCCCCGCTGTAAATAACCTGTGGTAAAAAATTTGTATCTTTACCAAAGGACATTGGGTTGTGAACTGAAACCAAAGTTTTTGAGCTTGACCTTTGACCTAGGAAGTTGTAAATACATTATGACACACCCTCTGGTAGTGGTAAATATACATGTCAAGTATAAACTTTGAAATCATAACGGTTGTCAAGATATAGAGCGGACACGATCTTTACCATAGGACATGGGGTTGTCAACTGAAACCAAAGTTTATGACCTTGACCTTTGACCTTGGAAGTTGTACATACATTATGACACACCTTCTAGTGTTGGTTAATATATATGTCAAGTATCTATAATATTATATGAGAAGACCTCATTTTGTGTGTTGCTTTCCAAGATAAATTAATCATTATGCCTCTGTGTCCCATAGGTATCATGCATAGTCGTGTTTGTCATCCTCGCTTTTCATTATTCAGTTTGGGTTATTTTTGGAGGAAAAACGAAAATAAAGGCATTCGGATATTGTGTCCGTCATCCGACGGACTTTTAAGTCATAGACAAGACCTCCTTTTAGGACTGTTTTAACATTACACATAATTTTCATAAGTACTTGGGGACAGGACAATTATTTACGTGTTTTTCTGTATACTATGATCATACATATACTATAAATAAAGTGTATTTGCTATTTACTATCATTTATATTATATAGAGTCTCTATATTATGTACAAGTGACCGCCTTGCATAGTAAACTTGGAATTGAATGATAGTAAATAGCAAATATAATTTACTTATAGTACATGTTTGTTCATAGTATAAAGAAAAACGTGAAAATAATTGAAATTAATAGAAAAAAATAACGGACTGTGGAAAAAAGGGAAGGGCTAAAAACTCATCCTACAACAGTTTACATAATTTCAACAATGCTCTAAATGCCTGCAATTTCGCGGGTGTGTTCTAGTAAACTTTGAAATCATAACGGTTCTAAAGATATAGAGCAGACACAGTCTGCGCCATAGGACATGGGGTTATCAACTGAAACCAAAGTTTTTGACCTTGAACTTTGACCTAGGAAGTTGTACAAACATAATGACACTCCCTCTGGTGTTGGTTAACATACATGTCAAGTATAAAGTATGAAAGTACATGTATGAAGTTTCTCTAGACATAGAGCGGACACAATTTGTTAGGTGTGGACACTGGACAAACAGACAGAAAGATGGATGGACTGACTGACTGATCACTATAGGGCAACCCGCCACTAGGCGGAGCCCTAATGATCTTTACAAATTACTACTGTGTAGCATCATCACCTGATATAGGCACTCCAGAAGCAGTTGAAAAAACAAATGGGTAGTCAGGACAAGGTCAAATTCTTCTCATTTTCATAATATTCTACGTTTTGCTGACAAGTAAAGTTTTCTAATACTGATTCCTAATACATGTAACATAGCCATTATTTGGGTCTGATTATGATCCTTTAATGACTTTTTCTCTCTCAAATCTTCAAAATCAGAACTGGTGGTACCTGTTCAAAGAAGCATGTAACAAGTTGAAACTCATTTAAACACATTTATCCTTCAACTATTCATTTGAGGTATTTGTAGAACAAAGTTATATTATATTTAAGCTTGAACAATATTGTGACATAATTAGTTTTTATCTATTGTTTTCTGAGAATTTCATGTAAATGAAGTGAATAAATTGTACAGCATATGTAATATGTGTTCAATAATTCTGTGAAGTTTAAGGGATCTAAATTTAAAATTGAAGGCAGAATTGTTTACACAAAACAGATCCCTCTTTTGTTAATTTTGCCAAAAATTATAACCAAGTTTGGAAAAAGAGAAAAAATTCCTTTAACAATTCCATAATAGCAAGTGTACAATATTTCCGTCAAGTTTCAATTGCTACACTTTATATTGCTAAATCAACACCGAAAGGGTACTGTCACCTGCATTTGTAAAGATGATTACTGTAAGATCTAAATAATCACTTATTAATTGTGATGTACATGTGAGTATGTTAAAATTGTGTAGACATTTTAAATACACAAAATGTTGTTAAAAAGTAAATGTCAATATTTCAAACCCTAGCAAATTTTTATAAAAAGGAAAAAAACATCTCTCTTACCCCTCCCCCTGAAATTACAATCTGAATAATGAATTAAAATGTTTTCTCACAAAATATGCTTAGAATAATCCTGAAAAGTCACAACATCATCATTTTGAAACCAAAAAAATGCAGCTTTCTTACCTCAGCTTCTGATCCTCATTATCTCTAAAAAAGAAAACATAACATCCATGGCCTTTTCTGACATGGCTGTCAAGTCTCCTGTCTCCTTTTTCACTGGACATCAACTTGCCTTCATACTCAAGTAGAAATTCTCCCTTCATAAAAGCTCTTGTTGTAAAGACCCCTTTTCCTGAAATGAAAAAAAATTGCTTATATCTACTTAATACAATAAAATGCTTCGCTGATTGCAGCCTGATATGACTGCAGAAGTCGAAACCTGAACAGCTGGGGCAAGTTTGGACATAAAATTCAAGCTTGATACTGTCTGTTGGATTGTGATCAAATTTTTGACATAAAATAGGTTTCTGACACAAAATAGATGTGGTCAAAGATCTTAAAAATCTATTACGCAATACTGTGCTATTGGGTAATATTGTTCAATTGAAGATTTCTTCTTGAAACTTTTCAAAAATTTGAAATTCAAAAATTTTGGAGAAAAAAAATATGAACCCCCCACCCCCCAAAAAAAAAATTTGGGAAAAAAAAATTACCCCAAACTTTTTGACCCCCCTTGGAGTAATTACCCCCAAACTCAATCCCAGCCTTCCATTTGAGTTATGGCACCTTATAGTACAACTTTAGAGAGATCCATACATTTAAACACAAGTTATTGTCTGGAAACTAGAAAAATGCTTGTTTTTGGTCACTTTTTGGCCTCTTAATTCCTACATGTTTGGGGCAATTACCCTCAAACTCAATCCCAGCCTTCCCTTTGTGATATGGAACCTTGTGGTATAATTTCAGAGAGATCCATACACTTACACACAAGTTATTGTCCAGAAACTACAAAAATGCTTGTTTTTTTGCCCCTTTTTAGCCCCCAACTCCTAAATTGTTGGTACCATAACCCCTAAAATCAATCCCAACCTTCCTTTTGTGGTATTTAACCTTCTTGTAAAATTTCATAGAGATCCATTCACTTAAACTAAAGTTATTGTCCAGAAACCAAATGTGTGTCTAGACGACCACGACGACAACCACATCATAGCATTATACAAACCCAAAAATTTTTTTGCTGTCGTATAAAAACTGAAATATTCATGTAGTCTGGTAGTTCCTTCTATATCTAATTATGATATCAGAAAGTGAATAAAACTAAAGGCTGTTAAGGGTATTTGTTGCTCACAGAGGTCTATGTGCATCTTCCACAATGGGGACAAAAAAGTGTAAAAAAAATTGTCATTTAAAGGGAAATAACTCCAATAAAGAGTGATCCGATAATTTCAGGCATGTGAATTATTTGTAGCTCTAGTCTTGCTGATCAATTTTGCTATCCAATTTTCTCTCTATCTACTAGTCTTTTTAAGATTATAGGAAAAAATGAACAAAAATTGGTAATAATTCCTATAAGTCATCTGACAGTTTAGATGAAAATAGACAATAAGTAAATTTTTCCACATTCTGAACATTTTCTCTAAGTCGCCACCGGCAGATCACTATTGCTATGTCGCGCTTTCTGAAACAAAAAAAAAGATGTGGTATGATTGATACTACTCTCCAGCAGAGGCCAAATGAATTAGAAGGTTAGCATCTATAGGTCACTGTTACATATAATGACCTTCAACAATGGGCAAAGCTCAAAAGCAAGCTTTAAACGTCATCGAAATGAAAAAATGTAAAAGAATTTAAATGAGAAAACTTATTTTCATCATCAGCATTACAGTAACCTTCATACTAAAAGACCCATTGGTGGCCTTTGGCTGTTATCTGCTCTTTGGTCGGGTTGTTGTCTCTTTGACATATTCCCCATTTTCATTCTCAATTTTATTTTTTACAGAGATTATCTTTAGTGCCGTGTGGAGACAGTAGAGTGCCTCCCCATGTTTCAGGTTTATGCTATTATAATATACTAGATAATGGAGTGTGTGTCTGAGCGAGAACATCTCTATGTTCATTACTTTAGGAATATTTATTTAAAACACAGATTTCACTATTCAGCCCCATTAGGGGCCAGCTGAGGCCCACCTCTGGGTGGGGGATTTTCTAGCTGCATTGAAGACCCATTGGTGGCCTTCCGCTGCTATCTGCTCTTTGGTCGGGTTGTTGTCTCTTTGACGTATTCCCCATTTCTATTTCCAATTTAATTTTTACAGAGTTTGTCTTTAGTGCTGTGTGGAGACAGTAGGGTGCCTCTCCGTGCTTCAGGTTTATGCTATTATAATATACTAGATAATGGAGTGTGTGTCTGAGCGAGAACATCTCTATGTTCATTACTTTAGAAATATTTATTCAAAACACAGATTTCACTATTCAGCCCCATTAGGGGCCATCTGAGGCCCACCTATAAGTGTGGGATTTTCTCGCTGCATTGAAGACCCATTGGTGGCCTTCCGATGTTGTCTGCTCTTTGGTTGGGTTGTTGTCTCTTTGACATATTCCCCATTTCCATTCTCAATTTTATTATTTTAGCTTCTTTTTGATAGCTGAGGGATAGTTATGATAACTAGACTCAGCTAGTGTTATCAGGAAGCGTTCCTTGGACGCACGGGTTCATGCATAGCTCATTCAGACAGAAAACCATGCGTCCAGGGTGACTATACGTGCCTTAACAAGAATATTGTTAGTATGACAAACACAGGTTTCCTCTCCATATGACTAATCAACAGTGGAACAATAAAATCAGTTGTAACAGTGAAACACCAAATCAAATATATAGTTGAATAGCATTGGAAACCAAAAGTTACAATAAGGGACAACCAATGACCAGATACTTTTATGTAAATACAATTAAACAAAAACATTCAAGTATCAAGTGTAGTACAACATTGTCATTTATTTATCTGATGTTGCAGGATCATTTAAATTGAGTGTGATCTCAGTCATTAAACCACCCCTGGGGATATCCTTAACCTGGTCGTTCCAGTCAAGGTTTAAGGTATCTTAATCCAACTTTTTTTTTTTTTTTTTTTTTTTTAAAGTAGGTCTGGCGATAGGACTGGCAAAACTGTCTTACAGGATCCAATGTTCACAAGTACTATATAAAAATCTAAAAACTTAGCCACACGTGCACCTATCCCAAATAAACCGAAGGGTGATTGAATGTGCTCTAGAAAGGTAATAAGTTACTGCATGCCCCACTAGTGCCACCAGATTATATAAGTTTGAGAGAAAATACAAAACTGGCTGAACAGTTAAAACAAACCAGACTTTAAATGAACAATTGCTCATCAAGGTATAAACCAAATAAAACAGCCATCACATATATAATGAAAGAAACATATTTAAATATGGATGAACATCTCGGTTTGATATTACTTCATTATAACATGCCTAAATTCAACATCTTGATGATGAAAAAAACCAATACATTAAAGAACTTGGTGGTGAAAAACCCAATTTGATATTTGCTTGAAGGGTGAATTGGAGTTAATAATGCAATTGAAAAAACTATTTCACTCAATTACATAAAAAATAATGGGTAAAAACCCCAATTTGTGAATTCTTATGTGGAGCTCTGTTATATATACTGAATCTGATTAGTTCAGTTTGTGGGGAACCAGTACTGGTAAGTCAATAATATTTGGTGTGTTGTTGAACATGTATCAGAATTCCAACATCTCATCCATGGGGATTAGTTGGTCAACCCCCTTAGTCATGGTTGTCATGATATATTGACATTAAATCTTGGACATGTTACAGCTTAAAATTAAAAGGTCAAACCTCAGAAAATTACAATAAGACCACCATCAACATCATCTTAAAAATTACATGTATATGTACATGCATATTAATATTTTGGTGAAAGAAGTTCATCCTCTCGATCTACTTTGTCACATTCCTTACATATTCATTTAAATAAATGCCACGAGGATTATTATTAATATACATGTACAACAACAAGAAAACAACCCACTGCCAAAGATAATTGAAAGACGTCTAGAGGTCAATACACTATCTCAAACAATAGACAAAATAAAAAACTAAAAGTACAGCCAATTGCTGAAATGTATCATTACATGTATTTGCAAGATTTAAAATATTATATCTTTCACAACTTTTTGAGTATTAGTTCAATCTATCATTTTATAAAACTTTGATTTCATTGTGGCTAGTCTGTAAAAAAGTCATCAATTAGAGATACCAATACTATTGGGACATTAATTTGAGAACAACAAAAAAGATGTCTATTTCAGGGATATATATATAATTGGTCATACATGTAGATTTGAAATCTTATTTTATTATGACGTCACATTTGGATGTCGACTTCAGGAATGTTTGTTCACCTGTTTTCAATGATTAGGTGGAAGTATGTTCTTATTTCAAAAAGAGGCAGGCACTCAGCAAATATTATTAATTTGTGCATGAACTACTTGCTAGAAACTGAATGTTTTTACCACAACTTTGTATGTTTTAACTGGAATACATATACGTACATATAATATAAAAAAATACGTGTCTTTTTCAGGACTTCTGATCCATGTTTGGCATGTTTGTTAGATCATAGAGGTGGTTATGAAGGGTGAATGTTCATGACAGTCCTCTATTACAAAGTATATCACTGGATTGAGCTTTTTGTCCAAGTGTATTATTAAAGTGTTTTGCTTTGAGCTCAGTTCATTGTTATGCAAATGCATTCTTTGTGAAATAAAGATTTGACAGACAACTCACATCTGCACATGATCTGCTGCAAGGTAAGATGATTAAATCTGTCAGCACAAGCAGTTGTACCATCCATTCAATGTAAGTATTTAAGGGGAGATTAAAGCATTTTATCATGTTTATTTACACTTGAACCAAACATTTTTTGTCCAGAAGCCAAATAAAAAAAGCACAAATTAACCAAACAATGCTACTCGTGCTACTAACAATATGATGCTAGGTGGTTTTGTTTTTTTTTAACATCTGTGCTGCCTGCTGATGAGTCCTGAGTGTAAATGATCATTCACTTATACATACCGGTAATGTTAGTAAGTATAAATTATTTTTTTTAATCCTTTTGTCCGTAAATCCTTTTCATATCTAAAAGAATTTTAATCAGTGTGTAGGAGTTATGAGCATCTGTATTGGAATCTGCCATATCTGGTATATCATCATTACTTAAAACCATAATATATCTTCATAGAAACAATTTCCACATTCAAACAAAATCTTTTACTAATGATACTGGGAAGATCCTGAACAAATTTT